CACGTCACACCTGTGATGGGAAAATATTGGGGATAAAATTACCCTATGCCACGTTGCCCAATGGCATGCTGACACGTGTCAGCCTAGAGAGGCCCAATGGGATCCAATCGGATGCTGACACGTGGCACTGTAACCCTAATAGGAGAATTGATCCTCTTCTACTATAAATGGAGGAAAATCCTCATTTATTACTCATTCATAAATACAAACACAAAAACTGAGCAATATTAATTGCAGAATTCTCTCTGAATCAGAGAGAAAATCCATTTACTTTCCGCACATTTATACATCCGGAGGCGGAACTCCACCCAACCGGAGTTTCGTGGTTTTGCAGGTACAGACGGTTGGCGCGCATTCTCTGAATTGTAACTCTCCCGAGGGACTTCAAAAACCCCGAAACACAAGTCGTATCATGATAGGTGTTGGTTGGAATTTGTTAGATGGATTGATGTTGGTGAATGATTTGTGATGTATGAATTATTATGATGAATTGGTGATTGGAATTAATTATGTTGGCATGTTAATTATTAACCACACTTTTATTATTGGCATGATAGAGGGCATGTTTAATTAAACTAAATGTTTAATTTGGTTTGGAATATAATAAGGGATTTTATTATGGTTCATATAATTTTTATTGATGCTTTAAGCATGGGAATTGAGCTATTTAAGTGTCTTAGTACACAGGAATAAATTATATTGTGGTGCGTATGTGCACTTAAGGTGTTTCTAACACCGAGGGATAGGATTTGCGGCGCATTATGCGTTTAAGGTGTCTTTGACACCGAGGTAGAATAAAAAGGGTTCAACAATTAAATTTATGTGGTCACTAATTATTCAAGAACTAAATTGGTATATTCGATTGATTAAATATTATGACTGATTGTGTTATGGTTTGAGAGTCATTACCAAGTATAATAATATGTAAAAAACGTAAAGTGAAAGAGATTACACACCAAAACTCTTGGAACGTATATACCTTGAGTATGAATATATGGGGGGAGTTATGCGACTTTATATTTGACCATAACTTCTACTGGGAGTACAGACGTTGTATTTTCCTTCATTTATTTTATGCGCAGGACGTCCAGTCACTTCATGTGACATTTGCCTACCCGGTTAGCTCCCGGTGTAGTTTACCTCAATTTATTTGGGGCAGGGATTTGGTGGGAAACCCGTTCGATGCGTAACCAAATTTAAATAAGCAATTCATTTATTTGTTGGTTGGTCGTTTGGTATGTTGTATGCCTGTAAGCAGGTGCAACAAGGTAAGTTGTGTGTTGATAGGATGAAAGCATGTTAGTGTGTTTTTATTACGCTTATGTACTCAGTATTGCTGATTGTGTATTGTATGTTTGTTTGGCCTTGTCTTTACCTTGGCCCTACGACGACCCATTTCTAATGGCGAGTAGTGGGGACAAGTAGAGAGAAGCTTTTCAGGTGATGAAGCATATTCATGATGGGCATGAGTGAAGAGCGAATCATGCTTAGTTTCCATAGGAATATGATGTGTTTTATTTGCTATGAACATTATTTATTTTATTATGCTCATGAGACTAACGTAAAGGTTTTTAGTATATTTTATTTTGGTTTGTAGGTTGACTTAGTTTGACTTTACTTTCGTTTGGTTTGACTTTTAAAGTTGACTTGTTTAAAATGGTTTTAAAGATAGGCTTCCGCTGTGTGAGTCTTTGATATTTGCCTTAGTTGTTTTCACGGGGACGGTAATGTCTTAGATTTTCCTATTTCGTATTTTAAAAGGGCAAAATTTGGTATTTTAAAAAAAGGGAATTTCTAGGGTGTTACACCGTAACTCAACTAACCTTAAATAACTCTGGGTACTTCTTTCTCATTTCATCCTCAGCTTCCCATGTCGTTTCCTCGGTTTCTTGATTCGATCACAAAACCTTTACAATCTTGACAGCTTTCTTGCGTGCACTACGTACTTTACTGTCAAGAATCTTTACAAGTCTTTCTTCATAGGTTAGGATTTGGTCTAGTTCTATGGTTTCAGGTTGTAGGACATGCGACTTGTCTGGGATGTATCTTCTTAACTGAGAAACGTGAAACACATTGTGTACCTTGATGAGGTCCATAGGCAATGCTAATCTATAAGCAACTTTACCTATTCCTTGCAAAATCTCATATGGTCTAACGTACTTTGGAATCAACTTTCCTTTCTTCCCAAATCGCATCACTCCTTTCATTGGTGAAACCTTAAGTAAAACCTTATCACCCACATGGAATTCCTCTTCTCTACACTTTAAATTTGCGTAACTCTTTTGTCTATCTTGAGTAGCTTGAACCTTAGCTTGGATTTCTCTCACTTGCTTCGTGGTTTCTTCTATCAACCGAGGACCTAGAATTATTGTCCCACTAATGTCACTCCAACATAGTGGACTTCTACACTTCCTTCCATACAAGGACTCAAATGGTGCCATGCCAATGCTTGCATGGTAACTATTGTTGTAAGAGAATTTTACCAAGTCCAAGCTATCTTCCCATCCACCTTGGTAATCTAACACACATGATCTTAACTTATCTTCCAAGGTTTGGATAGTTCTCTCAGATTGTCCATCCGTTGTAGGGTGAAATGTTGTACTCATCTTTAATGTCGTACCAATGTTCTCCTGAACACTTTTCCAGAATTTTGAAAGAAACCTGGAATCCCTATCAAAAACAATATCCTTAGGAACTCCATGTAGCCTCACAACATTTTTTATGTAAGCCTTTGCAAGTTGTTCCATTTTCCAAGTCTCCTTCATTGGTATAAACACTGCCAATTTGGTAAGTCTATCCACCACAACCCAGATGGTATCATTCCCATTCTTAGACTTAGGTAAGCTAGTGACAAAATCCATCCTGATGCAATCCCACTTCCAAGCCGGGATCTCGAGTGGTTGCACTGTTCCCTGTGGTCTCTTATGCTTTATCTTAACTTTCTGACAAGTTAGACACTTAGCTACAAACTCTGCCACTTCCTTCTTCATTTTAGGCCACAAATACACCTTTTTCAAATCCTTGTAAAGCTTATCTCCTCCTGGATGTATTGAATAGGGTGAATTGTGCCCTTCTTCCATCAACTTCTTCTTCAACTCCTCACACTTTTGTGGTACACACCACCTCCCCTTGAATCGAATACTCCAATCATCAAGGATTTTGAAATCAGTCGCCTTCCCTTGCTTGATCTTCTCCCTTATGTGATCTAATTTCAGATCCCCTACTTGGTTATCCTTAATCTCATCAAATATTGTTGGTTGGATATTCAAATTATTAAACATTCTTTCCAACGTTCCATGTGGTACTACCTCGAGGTTCAACTTACTCATTTCCTTACAAAGTTCGTCTACCACTACCAAAGCATTCACTCCATGATTTGCTTTACGACTCAAAGCATCTGCGACTACGTTCGCTTTTCCCTCGTGGTATTGGATATCTAGTCATAGTCATTGAATTCTAACCACCTCCGTCGTCTCATGTTCAATGTTGATTGCGTGAAAAGGTACTTCAAACTTTTATGGTCTGTGAATATCCTACATTTGACTCCATATAAATAATGTCTCCATATTTTCACCGCAAACACTATCGCTACAAGTTCTAGATCATGAGTAGGGTAGTTAACGTCGTGTTTCTTTAACTGTCTCGATGCATAAGCAATCACCTTCCCATGTTGCATCAAAACACATCCAAGTCCATTCTTAGATGCATCACTATACACATCAAAAGAACCACTCCCGTCAGGTAAAGTCAACACTGGTGCTGTTTTCAAACTCTTTTTCATGGTTTTAAACGCCTTTTCACACTTATCACTCCAAATGAACTTAGATTCCTTCTTCATCAACGAAGTCATAGGTCTAGCTATCTTCGAAAAGTCCTTCACAAACCGCCTATAATATCTAGCTAGGCCTAAGAAGCTTCGAATATCCGACACATTCTTTGGTGTAGGCCACCCCTTCACCACTTCAATCTTTGTAGGATCTACTTCCACTCATTCCTTAGATATAAAATGTCCAAAAAATTCTACCTTCTCCAACCAAAACTCACACTTTGAGAGTTTAGCATACAACTGGTTAGTCCTTAACGTAGCTAATACTGATCGCAAATGCTCTGCATGGTCCTCTTTATTCTTTGAATAAACCAAAATGTCATCAATAAACACTACCACAAATTGGTCCAGGAAAGGTTGAAACACTTTATTCATCAAGCCCATAAAAATTGCAGGTGCATTAGTCAAACCCAAAAGGCTTTACTGTAAACTCATAGTGTCTATATCTCGTCCTAAATGCCATTTTCGGAATGTCCTCTTACGCAATTCGTAGTTGATGATATCCAGACCTCAAATCAATCTTAGAAAACACTGTTGCACCTTTAAGCTGGTCAAACAAGTCATCTATCCTAGGTAAAGGGTATTTGTTCTTTATGGTTACCTTGTTCAACTCCCTGAAATCGATGCATGGCCTCATGCTACCATCTTTCTTTTTCACAAACAGTACAGGAGCTCCCCATGGTGATGCACTTGGTCTTATGTATCCCTTCTCCAACAAATCTTGTAATTGATTCTTTAATTCACTCATCTCAGCAAGTGCCATCATGTATGGTGCCTTAGAGATAGGTGTTGTTCCAGGTACTAAGTCTATGGTAAAGTCTATTGTTCTTTTTGGCAGCATACCCGGAATCTCTTCTGGAAACTCATATGAAAACTCCTTCACTACTTCAATATCCTCTAACTTAGATGGTTCCTCATACTCCAAGTTTCTCACACTACAGAAATAGATTGGGTTCCCTTTCTTCATATACTATGCCAACTTCATCATAGAAATGATCTTAGTATGCCTGGGTTTTCCATGCCTCCAATGGATTACAAGCTCTCCCTGAGCCGTTTTCAAGTGGATTTTCTGTGACTGACATCGTATTTCAGCATTATAGCGACATAACTAATCCATTCCCAGAATTATATCAAGGTCTCTTAGTTCAAATTCAATCGGGTTGGACATAATATCTTACCCTTTAATCTTTATAGGTACATCCCTATAAAACCTAGTACAGTGAACTACATCCCCAATTAAAAGTTCTAAAGGAATATCTATGTCATCTATAGTTTTCAGACAATGCGATAGTTTTCGAAGCATAGCTTTAGAAATGAAAGAATATATTGCACCAGAATCAAACAAAACTTTAACAGGAATTGAGTTTATAGAAAATGTACTAGTAATGACATCTCTCGCTGCATCAGCCTCACGCGACCCCATCACATTAAGCTTTCCTGGTGTTCCACCCTTGACTTGTGTGTTACCACCATTGGTATTCTTATTTCCATTCTGAAATTGCGCTCCCTTATTCACTTGATTCCCATTGTTACCTTGACCTCCTTTCTGCTGATTCCAGTTCTGTCCACTACCCTTATGCTGATTGTTTCCTTGACCCCTTTATTCTTATTAAAACACTCGTATGCCTTGTGTCCTTGCTTATTGCATAGGTTACAAATGACTAAGTTTCCATCACAGTCCTTCCCTGGGTGATTGTTGGAACATCTCTTATAGTAGTATATCCTTTGATTACGATCTCCAGGTTGGTTCCTATTTTCCCTAGGAAAATTGCGCCCACCTTGGTTGTTCCTATTGTTCTGGAAGTTATTACCTTGGTGGTGATTAAACTTTTTCTTCTTGAAGTTATTCTGGTTCCCAGATGGTCCAGAACTAGTCATAGTCTCTTTTCTTTTCTCCCCAGCATCCAACTTAGCCTTTTCAGCTTTTTCCTTCAACTCCAACGCATGTAAATGCGCTTTCCTACCATATAATTCATTCAAATTGTCAAACACTTGCCCTAACAATTTTCCTTGTAGAGAAAGAGGCAATCCACTTTCAAACCTTCTAGTTTTCTGCCTATCAGTAGCCACAGTATCTTCAGCAAACCTAGACAACTCAATAAACTTAGTGTAATACTCAGTCATCGACATACCTCCCATCTTAAGTTCTAGGAACTCATCAGCTTTCTGCTTTTCCAAGAACATTGGGTAGAACTTATCCCTCACTTGCTCCTTGAACACATTCCATCCAAAGTTAGATAATGCTCTCACAGTTTGTTCATTCTACTGCCACCACAAATCTACTTCACCCCTTAAGTAGTAAGCTGCACTACTCACTTTGAACTCATTAGGGCATGCTACTTCCACAAACAACTTGTCAAACTCTCTCAACCAGTTCTCAAGGATAGTTGGGTCAGATTCTCCCTAGTAGGTAGAAGGTTAGATTTGTGCTATCTTCTTAAACAACTCCCCAACAGGGTCAGGATTGTTATTGTTATTCCTTTCAGCTAATTGTTGAGCTAAAGCAGCTAGTTGCCTTACAACCTCATTCTGATCATTGTTATAGTTGTTTCTCCCTGCCATCCTAGTCCTCCTGAATAAAGAAATGACTACTACTAGGTTGGTCACAACTCTCTTGTAACTAGAAAACAACCATGCTACTTTAATCTAAGCATACAAGCAGTCATTTTGAGTTATAGTAAAAGCACCTACTCATTTCTCCTACGAATAATTCAACACATTGTATTGGTTGTCATGCAACCATTTCACTTAAGTAGCACACCACAAAAAATATGTTTGAGTCGTTTCCCTTGATACCATAGACAGAAAATAAAAGTAATAAATGACACTTGGCAGGCTTGTTTGAAGATGGAAATTGATTAGGAGATTTTTCCCAACCAATCATCATCTGACAACTGGACCATTCAGGCTTTGCCAAGTGTCCGCCACATGGGCCAATAGAAGCCTGCCACGTGTCAGGCGTTGATCTGTCCACCATGGACCAGTTGTGTCACGTCACGTGGCCTCTATATGCCAAACAGCAACCTAGCCCAATTTCCGAGGGAAGCCCAATCAGTCCTAGGTTATCTTAAACCTAGTATTTAGCACGTTTCCCAAGGTTATAAATACACTAATTAATCCTCATTAAAGGGGATTCAACAATGAATTACTCTCACCTAGAAAACCTAAACACACTGATCTTTCTCCCCTGGAGTAACCAGATCTCCCAACCTTTACTTTTTCCGCACTTATTACTCCTCAAACAAGTACGAACTTGACCGTCGGAGGCGGAACCCCCACCACCCATAGCCTCCATTGTTTTGCAGGTACAGGCACACGGATCTATTCCCGGAATTGTAACTCTCTTGCAGGACATCAAAAAACCCTGAAACATTTTGGCGCCGTCTATGGGGAGAGTACTTTTGAGATGGCATCACAGTCTGTACCGACTCAAAGCGAGAGGTGTCCTACGGACGACCCTCAGGTCTATAGTGACCAGGATACTGAAAATGAGGTTGAGGTTGAGACTCATACGGCCCCAGACGGGACCTTACGAGCTCGACGAACCCGTTCCTCTGAAAAAGAAGGAACTAAAAGATTGCCAGGTTGGATCTAGTAAACCTGCCGGCCAGCCGCTTGATCTTCAACAGGCGGCCGAGGGATCTGCTCCCATCACTAGAAGTGAACTCATGACTTTCATGAATAGCTTCAAAGGGGAGATCCAGAATCTCATTAATAAGAAGACGCCTGCTCCCTCCAAGGAGCAGTCGGCTAGAAAACCTTCTCAGTCTAGAAGGGGGAAACTTGTACAGGGTCGAGAAGCGACTCCTCACCCTAATTCTAGGAAGTGGGAGCCTCCTGTGATTGACTTAACAAAGTATCACTTTCCCTCACCAGGGAAGAGAAAGCCCATTCGTCATGTACAAGCGGATGGGTCAAAGAAAACTTACTCAGATGCTCAACTGTTGCTAGAGCAGAAGAAGAATGACCGACTGTCAGAGTCGGCCTCTACTTCAAATTTTCAAGATAGTTTGCATAATACCTCCATGAGGTATACTCAATCAAATTATGAGAGTCAGACAGGCGGTACCTCCCGTCGGTCCGGATCTCTTAAAGATCAGTCGGTACCGAATGTACCATACGTACCGCAACAACAATATTTCTTACAGCCCCCTTTGTTTGGAGTGCAGGTGGCAAGAAACGTCCAACATTGGACTGGAAACTACGGTTGCTCAAACTTGGAGAACAGCCGTCTGCCTTCTCCAAGGAAATTATTGAGGCCGCCCAGCCGGTCAAAGTGAAGAATGTGTTAGTAGGCGCCTATGATGGCACTACTAACCCAGAAGATCATCTAATGGCGTTCACCAACCTAATGTACCTCCAAGGGTTGGATGATCCCACTTGGTGCAAGTCCTTCCCAGCCACTCTCAAGGGAATTGCACAGCAATGGTTCGGCAACGTGCCGACTGGTTGTGTGAATAATTTCAAGACACTTGCCTACTTGTTCACCTCCAATTTTTCTATGAACATCCCTGCTAAAAAGACGACCCTTGACTTAGGGACCATTCAGCAGGGTGAGAAGGAGGGACTCCGCTCCTACATCAGGCGGTTTAACCTGATGAGGATTCAAATACAAGGGCTGCCGGATGAGGTAGCCTACACTGACTTTTTCAGAGGTCTTAAGGATGGGTCGACCTTCAAGTTCGACTTGGTCCGAAAGAGGGTTGCCGACCAAAACAGTCGACAAATAAAGATGAGAAAAAAAGAAAAGAAGTCTGGGCGGCCGACTCCTCTCAACAGCCGTCCCAGAAAAATAAGAAGGAATTCAAACCATACTCTCCCAAGTATGCGTTCAACAAGGATAGCCAAGCTATCCTCAAAGAAATCAAGAGCCGGATCTCAATCGAGAAGCCGGCCCCCAAGAAGAGTTCTGCAAGCAATCGGAACCAAGATAAGTTCTGTCATTTTCACGAGGATATTGGCCATGAAACCAATGAATGCAATAGCCTCATGCGCTACCTGGACCGCCTGGCTGAGAAAGGCGACCTTGACTCCTCTGACAAGAAGTCCAAGGGGAATGCTCCCCCCAAGCACAAGAAGTCGGCCAAGAAGAATCACAGGTCGGCTTACAGTTCTGATACCGATGACGCAGTCGTCTACACTATAGCCGGCGGCTTCTCAGGAGGCGGCCCCACTATCAGGGGCAACAAAGACAATATCAGGCGGTTAAATGTTAATTCCGTTCACCAAGGACGGACCGCCAAGAGTTCATTCCCAGAAATTGTCATCACAGAAGAAGATCTGGGAGGAGTTAGGCCGCATGATGACCCCATCGTCATTGAATGTAAGGTGGCAAACCAAAGAGTTGGCCGAATCCTCTTAGATACCGGTAGTTCCTCTAATATCATCAGCAACAAGTGCTTGGCAAAGCTCAAGTACAAAACTGACTGCATACATCCGGTATCTCACCCTTTAGTAGGGTTTGGAGGAAGTGTTGTACACCCAGTGGGACGAGTGGATCTTCCCATCCACCTGGGTGAGAAAGGGGAGGACCGCCACATGGTGGTTCGGTTCTTAGTGGTTGAAGAACTGTCGGCTTACAACATGATCTTGGGACGACCCACCCTGAATAACTCTAAAGTTGTCATTATCCCCTCTCTTATGGTGCTTAAATTTGAGAGGGATGATGGAACAGTCGGCTCCCTAAGGAGAGATCAAAAGATGGCGCAAGAGTGTTACCTTTCGGATATCAAACCCACTGTGGCGACTACAGGCCCAAGTGGTGAAAAAATTGACCTTGAGCTCATCAAGGAGGATGCGCCTGCCCAAACAGCAGGCGGCAAGAAAAGAAAGGCTACTCAACTGGGGGCCGAGAGAAAAGAAAAAAATAGCAATCACTGGCAGAGGAGCGGTCGGACGAATTCCGCCCTCAGCCGGCTGGCGAGCACACGGATGTTGTCCTGGACGACTCACGTCCTGATCGAACAGTCAAAGTAGGGACGACTGCTCTTGAAGTATTGGGTGAAGATTTTCACCAACTTTTGAAGGAATTCATAGATATCTTTGCGTTCAAAGTTCATGAAATGCCAGGCATCAGTCCTGACCTGGCTGTACATAAATTGGCTGTGGATCCGAAAAAGAAGCCGGTCAAGCAAAAGAAGCGGAACCATGGTGAAGAAAGAAGTCAGGCGGCTACCACCGAGGTTAAAAAGCTGCTTGATGCAGGGTTCATTCGGTAATGTTACTTTCCTGACTGGGTTGAAAATGTTGTACTAGTAAAAAAGCCGAATGGTACCTGGCGCATGTGTGTGGACTACACTGAGTTAAACAAGGCGTGACCCAAAGATAGCTATCCATTGCCTAAGATTGACAATCTGGTCGACTCAACAGTCGGCCACGCTTTAATGAGCTTCATGGACGCCTACTCTAGCTTCCATCAAGTTCCGTTGTGGAAGAAAGATTAGGAGAAGATGGCCTTCGTCACTGATCAAGGGCTGTATTGTTACATGGTCATGCCGTTTGGTTTGAAGAACGCCCCGGCTACCTTTCAAAGAATGATAAACACGGTCTTCTTTGACCAAATTGGAAGGAATGTCGAGGCATACATAGATGATATGATTGTAAAGTCCAAAATTCAGACAAATCATCTGGCTGACCTCCGAGAAACATTCACCACACTCAGGCGGCACCATGTCATGCTCAATCCAACGAAATGTGCGTTTGGAGTTGGGTCTGGGAAGTTCCTCGGATTTCTCATAAATCAGAGAGGTATAGAGGCGAACCCTGAGAAAGTATAGGCGGTCATTGATATGCAGTCGCCTCGAACAGTCCGAGAGGTTCAGAAGTTAACAGGTTGTCTGGCGGCCCTGGGAAGATTTCTCAGCCGGTCAGGCGACAAGTGCCTTTACTTTTTTCAGGCAATAAAGAAGAAATCAAGGTTTGAATGGGGGCCGGATGCTGAAGCGGCCTTCCAAAAACTGAAAGTCCATCTGCATTCTTTACCAAGGTTAGTCAGTCCCTTGCCCAAAGAAGTGCTCTACATGTATCTCGCAGTGTCTGACCATGCTCTAAGCGCCGTCCTCCTTACTGAAAGAGACGGCTGCTAGCTATCGGTCTACTTTGTTAGTCATGTATTGAAAAATGCCGAGTTGAGGTACCCCCTAGTGGAGAAATTTGGTCTTGCTCTCTTCATGGCCGTTAGAAAATTGAAGCCTTATTTCTTGGCACATTCAGTCGTTGTAAACACAGATCAGCCAATCAAGCGGCCACTCACAACCATGGAGTCGTCAGGCCGAATGATCAAATGGGCAATAGAGATTCAGAGCCTTGAAATCACATTCGAGCCAAGAAAACCAGTAAAGGGCAAGCATTTGCTGATTTTATTGTAGAAATGACTCGACCCTCTAATTCTCAAATTCCAGACCAAGTCTGGAAAGTCTATGTGGACGGGAGCTCCACCTCAAATGGTTGTGGAGCAGGCGTCATATGTCAGTCGCCAGAAGGCGACAGGTCTGAGTATGCTCTACGTTTTAACTTCCAAGCCTCGAACAACGAGGCGGAATATGAAGCTTTACTGGCCGGTA